AATTGTAACCCCTCTGTACAGTATGTTCACAAATAAAAAATTAATTAATTAATTAATTAAAAAAAAAAGAATCCCTCCACCTTACCTGCCCTACTCGAGAAATATGGGTATTATTCCATGTATTATTGTCCACTAAAATTGTCCGATTTGCCATAGCTGTAATCTGGTAGCCATAATCCCACCATGACATGACTTTTGCATCCTGAAATAAAAATGAAAAAATGAACAACACTCTTCTAACTGCACCTAAAATTAACTGCAAGAGAAGTGGATGGGAATCTTTGATATCATAGGAAGTAAGGCCGGGATAATCAATTTATTCACAAAGTTAGAAAGTTATTCACACCTTACAAGAAAATAATTTCTTTTTAAAGTGGAGGAGCTAAATTTGATATTTTTGGACTTAGATCAGAACCAATTTTATCTGTATCTTCTTTTTCAATTTTCAAGTAGTTGTACAAGGGTAAAACATGTCAGTTTCTGAATAAAGAAAAAAACTGACAGCTAATCCACCATATAGATAGAAAATTGCAGCACAATTCATACACTTTATATACATAAGTATAATAAAGTGAAAACTGTGTAGACTATATATTTTATTAAATAATCTTCAACAAAAATCTTTGTCATGAAAATGGAAGAGGAAAGAAAATTCACAAATATGATGGACAACTATTAAGATATTCTAAGTTTGGGGCTAATCATAGTTCAGTTGTAGAGCACCTGCCTAGTAAGTGCAGTCTTGGGTTCAGTCCCTGCACTACAAGATTTAAAGGATTCTTACTTTTGATGTTAAACAAATCTGAATCCAAAATACTATTCTCAATACGTACTGTAAGGAATCACTTCAGAGCTTCAAAGAGAACAACATTAAGGAACTAGAGTGTGGCTCAAAAAACAGAGCACCAGCCAGTGGTAAGCAAAAAGCTGAGCAAGAGCCTCTAATTTCAAAGTAAATAAATAAAACAAACTACAATATTAAAATAATGAAATATCTCTATGTAACTAAAAGCTTATTATAAAGCAAAACAAAACAAGTAATCATCACACCTAGCAAGCACAAGACCTGGAGTTCAAACTCTAGTATCACCAAAATAAAAAAAGTAATCATTAGGTAATAAATTAATGACTGCAAGCAACACTCTATGGCAGATAATCAAAACTATCTGACACAATTTGAGCTTGCTATAGTGAGAAAGTCTAACCTATTCCAGTGTTCTCTCCTCCATGAGACAAGCCATTATATAAACTTAAACAATACAAAAAGAAAAAAATAATAAACTAATGAAAATATTTATGTATGTTCCCTTCTATTTTCTGATTTT